AAAGGCATTTTATCTTTAAATATAATAGTAAATTTTAAACATGTATATATAGGTATCATCTCACACTTTATAACATTTTATTTGAATTTGTAATGATAGCGCTTTAGAATATTTATAGTTTTAGCGCTTTATAAATTAATAAATTATTATTATTACTGTATATGTAAAGTAAAGAGATTGTCGTCTTTCGAATTTGAGATGGCTTAGTTGTAGGCGTCTTGGTTGGCACTTTGTTGATAAAATTCCACGGATTAATTGCTGTTCTTCATAAAGGTCGAGTAAAGGTAGTTTATACGTTCTGCTTGTTTTGTGTTGTGTTATACAACTTTTTTTGTGGGATGGTTACTGTTACTGTTACTGTTAATTCGTAATCTTGCTCCTTCCAATCACTCTAACTCTCCTAACCACTTGACTATTGATGGTAAGACATTGACTAATCCTAAAGATATCGCTGATTCATTTAATGATCATTTTACTAACATACGAAACTCTGTTTCGCTTAATAGCTTCACTAATAATTCAAATTGGGACTATCTTTCTAATTTTCTTTCTTCTAAAATTCCTCCAAATACAACCTTTACTATCCCCCCAATATCTGAAAGTTTTGCTCGAAACAGCTTCAATCATCTGCCTGAAACTAAAGCTGCTGGTTTAGATAGAATTGGTGGATATTTTCTTAAAATAGCTGCAACAGCTATTTCACCTGCTCTGACAAAGATATATAATCTCAGTATTAATTCGGCTAGTTTTCCTGACTTGTGGAAAATCGCAAAGGTTTCACCTCTTTTCAAATCGGGTTCACTTTTTGACCGTTCCAACTTTCGCCCTATCTCAGTTTTGGCCGTTATCTCTAAGATACTTGAACGCCATGTTCATAATTCTTTTTATCACTTCCTAACTGAGTATAATCTTCTTGTTGAAAATCAGTTTGGGTTTAGAACATCTCGCTCATGTGAATTAGCAGTCACTCATCTTACTGATAAAATTTTAACTAATATTGATAACAAAAAATTAAATGGACTTCTTCTTGTTGATTTCAAAAAGGCTTTTGATCTTGTTGATCATGAAATCCTAATTCTAAAACTTAGAATGTTCGGATGTTCTCCATTAGTATTGAAATGGTTCACGTCATAACTTAGTGATCGTTATCAACGCACTTATTTCAAAAACACATTATCCGATATGCGTCCTGTTAAGATAGGTGTTCCTCAAGGAAGTATTCTTGGCCCCCTTCTTTTTATCTTATTTATCAATGATCTCCCTTCTCAACTTTCACATTCAGAATCCACAATGTTTGCAGATGACACCACCGTTCTAACAGAAGGTTCTTCCATTCATGATTTAAATGTGAAACTTAACATTGTTGCTCAAGATCTCTCAACCAGTGGCGAAGCCAGCGGTCATGCAGGTCATGCAGTGCATGACTAAAAATTTCCCCAAAAATGTTTAAAAATCAGTTCAGTATAATTGTTTACAATAGAATTATACTTTATCTTTGCACTTCTACGCCTAAGTATTTTATTTATTATTTTGTTTACCCAAATCAATGGTCTTTAGGCGATATTCTTGCTAAATATTCTCGTATGTTATTGATTTTGGCTTTGTTACCTTGGCAACTGAGCGGTCCTGCATATTTTCACATGCATGACCGGTTGCGTAAGCGCGTGGAAAAAGATTGCGTGTGATTGCTGCGTGGTTTGCTCGCTGTGTGTTTTGGTCATGCACTTTCAGAATTTCATGATTAGCTGTATTATTTTATATTAGGTTTGTTGGTTTCTGATTGGCTTAGGACGTTCGCGCACGCGCAATGCGGCTGTTTTTGACGCCTTGGTCATGCAATTTTCGATTTGCATGACTAAACGGGCAACACAACCTGATCACAGCCTCTTAGCTCGAAGCTTTCAGCCCGAATGAACACGTCTTCAGGTCATTCAAGCATGTCGACTTCTTCTTTACTCGAAGCTAACGATATTGTTTGGGAATTGGTGAAAAAACCATTTTCTGCTGAGCAGAATATTATTGTTTATAAGCAGAGACAAACGCCAGATCTTTCGACATGCCCGATCGGGAAGGTTTTCAAATGTCGTGGTATTCAAAGAAAGAATGGCTTAGCCAGTCAGGCTTAGGCTAAATACGCTATTGGCTATTGGTATTTAGTTATTGTTAGGGAGCATTCATTTTTTAGCTGGGAGGGTGGGCCGGAGGAACTGATGTCTCATTCCATGCTAAAACTTGGAACCCCCCAGAAAAAAGTTGATAAAAAATTATGACCCCCTATTTTTTTTACTGAAAAAGTTTTTGACCCCTCATCCTAACTATTAATAATCCACACGGTGTCGTTTCCGTAGCGTTTCAGGGTCGTAGGAAGCTCTTTTTTATTGGGGGGCTGAAAGCGAGGGCCGAAGGCCCGAGGAAATTTGTAAATCTAGAGTCTCTGAAATGCCATTTCCTGGACTTTGGGGAAGATTTGACAGAATTCTGATGGTCAGAAAACAGCGTTTTAGTATGTCGAAATTGACAATTTGGGCGAACGCGTATTTAATTAACTATATATTGGATAACTAGGATAAGTTGCAGGAAACTGTGGGTACTATCTTCATTCTTTGCAGTTTGTCATGGATAATGTAGCCGCTTAAAATTAATAAAGCTTAAAATTGATAAAGGTCATGATGAAATGCATGCCGACCTTGAAACCATGCATGATTTTGAAATCATGCTACGGTCCTGCGTTTTCTTTCATTCATGTTTTCACACAAAAATGGATAAAAACGACATCAATTGACGAAAGTCATGGAAATGTTTTCCTATGGACTGTGTGAACAGAGCGTCAAATGAATTTTGCTTCTTTGTTAAACTGACGAGATAGTTGATAGTTTCTAGATCTTTTTACCATTCTTCATCCTAATATTTCCAAATTCTATAAAATTATATTGGTGACTTTTTCACTGATTATTTTTATGACCCCCTCCATTTATACCAAAACTATAAAAAGACCCACCCCTTTGAAGCATGTCAAAATTTGCTGACGCACCCCCAAATTCCTCCGGCCCACCCCCCAGCTAAAAAATGAATGCTCCCTTACATGTATTTTGTCTTGAATATTTAAGCGGTAAGCCTTCAACCCGAGCATAGGCGTATAAAGCATCGAACGCTATATACTATATGAAATACAATGTCAATGTCGAGGTCAATGTAGTAAACAATGTAGTTCTATAAATAGCGCTGCAAAGCTTTATATACATTTCAACACGCAACACAAACATTTTAGCGATTGTGATTTAGCAACATATTTGATATATACTTAATTGTTTGTGAAACAAACAAAGAAATTTCAATATTTATTGTTAAATTGTATTTACCATTTGGTACATACTCCCCGTGCGTTAGAAAATATCCAATATTGGCAATAGCCAATCGATATGAATGCAGAATTCGGCTATAAAACTGACAGTAAAACTTCTACTCAAACATCTGATAATGCTTAATTCATTTCTGTATGTAATATTGTAATAATTAGGCGATTGATTTTAAATTAAAGAAATTGATCAAGGCTCATGCGTTATATTTTCCAAGTCCTGCATATTATACCTATATTCTAGATTATACTGACTGTATTAGCAGCTATGACAGCTATTTGTCATTATGTTCCGTTAGTATATGTGGATAAAATTGTATCTAGTTCTGGAAATGTGAAAACTCTTCAGACTTCACGTTGGAAAACTACAAGGGGATAGCAATTAGGTAGTCTATACAGACTATGATAATACAGAACATGCATGTAATATTTTCTGATCGAAAAGAAAATGCACAATTGCCGGTTGACTAGCTATAATTAGCGGAACTGCAGACCACAGATTTCCTATTTTTGTGTCCATCTTCATTATTGTTGTCGGAAATATGCCAAAATATCCACATATTTTCCCGTCAATAGATCAAGCTATTTTCTGAAATTTGATGCTCAGATTGCTGCAAATGGCGTTTCTGGGGTATATATTTCAAAATTTTCCGGGGGGGGGCATGCCCCCGGACCCCCCTAGGATGTCTCACGCATTCGGCGCTCGTTTGCATGACCACTCAGACGACGCTGGCTTCGCCACTGCTCTCAACATGGATTCAACAAAACCGAATGGTGACTAATACATTGAAAACCAAGACCATGCTCATTCATTCTCCCCAACAACTTAAGAATACTTCAGACCGTTCTCTATCAGTTACTCTTAGTGGCAACATACTTGCACAGGTGAAGCAAGCAAAAGTGTTGGGTTTAACGCTTGACGAGTTTTTAATTTGGACCAAGCATATTGACAACTTGTGTTCAACAATCAATAGTAGACTTGCTTTATTACGCAGGATTAAACCCTTTTTAACTAAGGACTGTCCTCTTCGTTTCTATAACTCCTGCATTAATTCAAGTCTTATCTACTGCTCTGTAACTTGGGGAAACTGCTCAAAAACACTTTTACTTCGCATTCTTCGACTGCAAAAGCGTGCAGCACGTTTTATTCTAGACGCTGACTTTTCTACTCCTTCTGTTCTTCTTTTTTCCCAGATTCGAATAATCCCAATTTTTGATCTTGTTAAATTTAGGAAGCTTCTCTTACTAATTAACATTCTCACAAATCCCAGTGCTCCATCTTCATTTAAGCAAATGTTTAAATTCTTATCTTCTATTCGACAACGGGCTCTGACTAGAGCTTGCGCATATGACCTTCAACCCCCCTTCCCGCGTACTGACTCTGGTAAACGAACATTTCTGTACAGTGCTTCCATTCTTTTTAATTGCTTAGAAGCGATTGTAAGCAACTTGCTGCTTCGCCATCTTGCTCTTCATATACTAACGCCAAACAAAAAATTCGTAAAATCTTTCTTAACAAGCTTACCCTTACTAACCATATCGAAGATCTATTTTGTATAAATTGTAAATATTTACTAAATTGTAATTGTATTCATTACTAATTATTCTTTTCTCAAATGTAAATAGTTGTAATCCTTAATACTTTTTATGCCTGTAAATATCAAATAGTGCGAGGGCCGTATGTTAGATAACTTTTACGGTTAATACGTTTTCCCTCGTGAAATAAAGTTTCTATTCTATTCTATTCTATAATTTAGTAATTGATCAGTATGCGTTTTCTTTCGATAAACCTGTGTTTGTATATTGTGCCGTCATCAGTTCTTGTCAAAAGAACGTTGAGGAAAGCGAGTTGCAGGTTGTTTTGTTCTGCTTGCATAGTAAATTTAATGTTTTCCGAGTGTAGTATTGTTTATGATCTGTAAAATTTCGTTTGTCTTGTCTTTCTTTACTGTAGCAAGAACGTCATCTACATATCTGTCCCATGCCTTTTGATATTTTTGTTATTAGTTACGAATCTCTTCTCTAGATATTGTATCACTGCTTCAGCAAGGAAACTAGAAAGCGGAGATCCCATAAGTATACCGGAAATTTGTCTGTTGTAAGAGTCTTGGAAGGAGAATTCAGCTATACCATAGGAATGTTGGAATGTTTACAGTCGGAAACGTGGGCGTGCGGGCGTCAAACAATACATGCATTCCTTCCATTGTTATCATTGTTCACTAGAAACAAAAAGTTTGCCCCATGTATGGTAATCCAGAATCCAGGATCCGACAATTAATAGCTTTGCAATCCTTCCAGCATTCGACGCACTAACTAAAGCCGGTTTTCCACTTCAAGCGTACCGTACCGAAACGTATCAGAAACGTTTTTAAATTTCAAAATTTCGGTACTTTTAGTACTTCCGTAGTACGCCGAAAAGTTGACTTGCGAAAAACTTTTTATTTTGATACGCGAATACACCCGGAAGTACGTGGATTTATAAACCTCTTTTCAATCTGTGCATGCTCACCAGTACGTTTCGGTACGATACGGGTGAAGGGGAAAACCGGCTTAAAATCGAAAGTTTTAATTCGGAAAGTATACGTAACATAACACCAGCCGTTCTACGGCAACAAGATAAACGTTTAACTTGACGCCTAATGTATGTATTATGAACGTAATTGCAGTGGCGAGCCAGCCCGAAAATTTGGTCATGCTATGCAAATTTTAAATCATTATCACTATTAATTTCTTTAGAAATGGATTGTTTTCACGGTCTAAGAACATGGAAATATTTGCATAGCATGACCACTGAATTGTCGGGCTGGCTTTGCCACTGCGTAATTGCAATTGCAAATACAAATTATTTTGTTAAAATTCAGAATTAATAAACAACGGTAGAAATAAACAACGCATTTTTCGTAATTTATCGACGTTATAAAATGTAGCATAAATCATAATGTCATTACTATAGGATGCATGATATAACATGCAGTCGAAATGATATGTCATATTTGTTATGGTTTTAATATAAATATACTAAAAATGTGCATGGTGTAACTAGATTTTCACAAATTTCATTCAGTTTTCGAAAACTTGTTCCCGTATACCAGTTCTATTGACAGGCACGAGTTAATCCTGCAAGACCAGGATCTTGTTTTATTCAATTTCAACATTTTTTATGAGTTCCAAAACTTACATACCTCCTTTATAATAGAATCGTGAGGTCCTTCGTAGCTCGCATATTCCCAGTCACTTCTGCTAATCCCACATCTGAAATCGTAATTGTCATTACCAGCTACAAAACTTCCATTCAGCTTACACGTTGTACTGTTTTTCACACACTGCCACGGTGCTTCTGCTCCGATAAAGAACATGTTGAGAAGCTGAAATGTTGGTGGGAACATTAGAAAACAAATTATGGAAAGTCTTGAGATTTGAAAACGACCCATCTGGCCAATTTGCTCAAGGATTTCATCCACTGTCCTGACCATGGCTGCAAAAGAGAAGAAAGATATTATAGCGACTATAAATAATTATGTTACTCATAACAATGTAGGTCTACATTACATAATGGTTATCATTTCCATTTAATTAATGTGTTCTAAAATATAAAACAAAGAAGCCGGCTTTGAGATATAAAGTGATTGTGAAAATGCTGTCGCAATATTAATGAGAATCATTTAGTAGATGCTCTTGTCTCAGAAAGATGTAGCTGGCCAATTTTTGCTGACAGATTAAAAAGATGCAATCATCTTTACTTAGTCAGTTCGCTCAGTTGCACAGCAATTGTTGCTGCAACTATTAAGTTTAAATGTGCAATGATAAAACATCTAGTTGAAATTTCAATAGTGGCCATGGAATAAATGGAATAATGTACGTTTATGTATTTACATGATAACGACGCATATATTCCGAAGCCTACATTTAGGTTAGAATTACTTCGAAATAGAACTGAAAAGCCGTTTCATACAATGTCAACAAAATTATTTTTTGAACACTCTTGTGTGTTAAAGGGGCACTGTCATCAAAATTTTTATTTTCTTAAACGAAAATGCTCTTAAAACTGTATAATAACTTGTTTTGAAGATTTTTGTTCCCATGCTTAGTTCTTGAGATATTTCGTTTTGTTTGTAACCATGTGACGCCATTTAGTCAATTACATATATAATGAGATATCATGCAGTAATTGTTGTGTATTTTGCTATTTTTTATTAAAATCTTTCGAAAGATGCGGCGCGTTTGTTAATTTAACCTACATCATTAAGTATACTGGGGTTTTTTAAACAAATCCATCAAAAATAACAAAGATACACAACAATTACTGATATCTCATTCTATTATAAAGAAGAGAGTGAGATACTGAAAAATATACAGTGAGATATTTTCCATATCTTCACCTGGTCCAGTGAAGATATCGATCACCTGACTTTTAGTATTTATACAATTTTTATTTATAAAATTGTTTTTACCACTCGAAGATAAAAGTCACATCTTCGCACCGGCGTGTAATATCCTCTATAAATATGTAAGTGAGTAAATGACGTCACATGATTACAAACAAAATGAAATATCTCAAGAACTAAGAGTGGAAACAAAAATCTTCAAAACAAGTTATTATACAGTTTTAAGAGCATTTTCGTTTAAGAAAATTAAAGTTTTGATGACGGTGACCCTTTATTGCCAACACTATTTGAAATATCACCAATTAGTGTTTGTTTTGGGACCAATTTTTGTCAATAACTCTGATAGTTTTACAATCAACACAGATCTTGCGATTCTAGCGTTTATCGCAGAAACAATGGTGCACATTAAACTAAAGGGATGTGGGAATGTTACACCCCCCACAATTTTGCGAAATGTCCAAAAAGTTGGTCCCAAACGGACAATTTTGTCGGTCCCGATCGTGCGGTATAAACATTACGCGAACTGGTTGGTTTCCATTCCGTCTCCAAATAAATTAATAAATTTTGAAAGATTATAAAATGCTTACTGCCAGCACTATTTGAATCAGCATCGTTAATTTCTGTGCCCCATATATACCCGTTATACCGAGTTGATGTACCAATTTAGTTTGAAAAGGACCGACGAACGAAATAGGTAAGTGAGACTCTGAAAATAGCATTTCCGACGATCTAGGGACTTCAATTTTGCAAAATTGTTTCGACCTTTGCACTTTTCATACATTCACCTTTCAAGTATCACAGAGATATAGAAACGTGATCGTGGACAGACATATTGATCGCAAATGGTTCGGCACACTAAAGAAATGCATGCCATTTCGACGATTCGAAGGTCAATACGATTCCCCTTAGATATACGCGTCGCATCCAAATGTAAACACGTAAAAAGTCGGTCCCGAAATATTTTACACCCCGCCCTAAAAATATTTTGGGATGTGCGCCCCTGCACAGAGATACTCGAAACCGTGCATGAGACTGCAAATGCTGTGGACTGCACATTTAACAAGCAGCCACATTTCCCTATATTGTATATAGACATCTTAAAGAATTATAGTTCATATAAATACGCCGAGTGTATTTTTATTAATAATTATAGTTAAACATTCATCGTTAGCTGATTACATATGATTAATATCGTGCAGATTACACGGCTATGCAGATTTGTATGAACTCTCTCGTATTAAGCCCAATAAAAAGGAACTGCACTACGTAGAAAAGAGAAACATTTGACACCGTTTCTTAATTTTTTGTGCATTTTTAATTAATAACTTGTTAATAACAGATCTTAAAACCGAGTCCCTACTGCGAGACAATGAAATTAACTGCTGATTGCTGACAGTTTTTCCAATTAAATTTAATGAAATAATGTCCTCTGATTTCCAGACAATCGCATATTCAATCTGCGATTGTTGCATTTTTTCACCGTTCGGGTCCTCATAGTTGAGTAAACAACATCTTAAACTGTTACTGACAACATCTTTTTTCTAAATATTAGTCTCACAATTATTATATTTTATATAGTTTTTATTAATATTTATGTATCTAAACTATTAATTTGCTTGTTAAATATTCCGATCTCCTTGTAAATTTTCTATAAATATTACACTATATATAGCTACCTAAGTATGAGGTGCCCAACGTTTTATAAGCTTTGCTTCCAGTTGAGCATCCTCGCCACCTTTTAGACATTTCTTTTGTTATTTTTGTATTTTACTGTATGTTTTGTTGTGTGGTGAATTAAATCTATCTATTCTACCTATCTATGTTTAGCCTTTAGCTTTAATTTGTAGCGAGGTCTTGGCGCCTTGTCACAAAAACATTGACGTGAAAACGTTGCAGCTTTAATTAATTAAGATATTTCAGACGCAAATCGATACTCAACGTACATTTACAATGACCAACATGTGTGAGTGATCAGTTACTCACATATTATATGCCAATTTATGTCCAATAGAGTAACAATACAATGGCTCTAGGGACAAGTATTAGTCCAACGAAAGTGGGCGGGCGGAAGAGGGCGTTTATCTAACCGAAATGCATCAATGTATGGCCGTATCTCCACCAATTTGGTTTTAGCAGATCCTCGCGGTACCTAGAAGGCAAAGAAAAATTCCGCTCCGTGCGCAAAATTCCGCCTAATGGAAACCGGCTTAAAACGCAACACCAGGCTTCGTCGCCACAACGTTTTTGTTCACAGACAGTTCGGTGTTTGTGGTCTCCTTCGCCCCGTTTGGCCAATTGGGTTAAAATTTTGAGTCTTGAGACACAGCGTTTTTGTTCACAGACGGTTCGGTGTCTGTGGTCTTCTTCGCCCTGTTTGGCCTAGCTTGGGTTAAAATTTTGAGAAGAAACCCTTATACTCGAGATTAGCTGCGGTACAGACGCATTATTTGGTACAAACGAATTATAAGCACGCTGTCGTCTTCCCATTTAATTTTCCTTTGCGCGCTCGTCCTTAGTTGCGGGCGTGCGCCTAAAGGCGTGCGTCTTTATCGGGCTTGCAGTGCACGCGCTGATCTATATATTACCGATATTTAAATTTGATTTATATAGAGGAGCCTGCGGAGGAGGCAGATGAGCACGTGCATGTATTCGGGTAATAATGTGAACTGCTGCACTAAACACCTTGTGCAACTGCGTTTTCTTCACGTGTCTGCTGAAGAATGATGTAAGTTGGTCACGGCGCTATTGACTGAAAAAATCCTGAACATTTGGTATTCTGTCCTGTCTCTCTTTCGCCATGTTTTTTAATATATATAATATACTTAGCGCCTCTGGCTTGGCACGTGCGATTTTGCCGAACAGATCATCTTTTACTTGTATTGATTCATCTTTTAGTTGTATCGGTTTATATGACGTTGACTGATGTATTTGTACATAACATCAATGTGTAGCACATAACATCAATTTATAAAAACTCGATTGATGCATTTCAGATATTTTGTCAGCTAAAAAACTTCATTTAAAACGGAAATAATTTTTCGTTGATAAAACGGAAATAATTTTTATTGCGGTTGTTTTTTGGCAATATATTCGGGACTTTGAAAATGGATCGATAATTGTTGTCTTTGCATGTGAGGTAGAATATGTTAGAGCTTTTACCCTTGCCGCCATCACGTTGTCTGGTATGGTTGCAGCAATCGTGTACCGAGATGCTTCCCAGGGAAGACATTCCTGACTACCGGATTTTCGTTACTAAGAGGAGATTTTTTTGTATGTTACGTAACACGCGCTCAAAAACTAATGCGTATAATATACCACTTGAGGTTATGACTAAATTCAAAATTTTTATTTTTCGATACGTTTCTCAATCGGCAAACAAACTTAACAAGTATGCTTAGTGCTTTATTTGTAAAATAATGCTAAAAATAATGAAGAGATTTTAGACTATGCCAAAGAGAAAATGATGTCTGAAGTTCAGTAAGTTTTGCTTATATGGCTGTAAATATGGCGTCAATTTTAAAGCATCAGTTGATAATTGTATTTTAATTTACAATTTTTAACTAATATTTTAATTAACTATGTTTCCCAGCCGGCAGATGCATTTAGAAAGGTAGCTAACTGTATAAACTAGAGAATAAAGCTAAAACAAAGTAATTTTTAGAGGAACGCAAAAAATATTTTAGGTTTTGAACACTTTTCATTGCAAATACGTGACATTGAAAAAAATTGCCTCTTAATAATTTATCACTTGACTTGTAAATAATTGTAGATAATATTTTAATGTAACGGTAGATAATTAGCATTGTACGTAACTATTTTATTATGTGTAGGGCCTCTATGGATACCATTAGTCATTGTGGTGATTAGGCTATATCATTATCATATATATGTTGAAATAACAGCCTCGTACCCAGGCGCAAATAACGTACTAAAAATAGCAACACTACAGTGTTTTTATATAGATCAGTGGCTAAGATGAGCGAGCGTGCGGGGTTGTTTGGGGAGGACACGGGAAACGAAGCCCCTGGCAGAATTTGTAACAAACATGGCGGACATGAGGATGCAAATGAGGAAATTGCTGTACTATACTAAATGAAATTGAAAGGCTTGCCCAACGAGCGGTACATTTGGAAAAGATTTTATGTCCAAATGATCACTGCAACAAAGTGAACAAAGGCACAAATAAAGATTGGCCAAATAATCGATGCCGAGTTCCAGTAATAATTCCAATATTCAACATTTTCATGTCCAGAAAAGCCAGTGTACTTCTTTCCTCCACAAGAGGGAAGAGCCTGGGAATGAGCTTGTCATTTGTGTCGCATCAGCTAATTACTGCAATATGTTATGGCTGATTTGAATTTGAAAGGGTTTACTTTTTTGGGGAAACATAACAATTCAAAGATGACATCACAGGGTGATGTCATTGATGACACCTGCTCTAGATCTGAAGTGTGCAGTATTGAAATTTCCTTAGAATAGGCCCTGGAATCCGGTATCTTGTAACTGCATGTGGCCTTAAATTCAGCTGAACCCCCGGCTCGTTTCACCGCCTTTTTTATAAACGTCCTGGTGAAATTAAATCCTTATTTTGCATGTTGATTTGATCGAGAATTTTCTGAAATAATAAAATTAGATTTTCTTCTTCATTGCAACAATAGTGGAGAAATAAGTATTTATCTGAGGCGGTTTTTTGTGTTCAGGAGCATTGAAGTATGTACATGTCAAAACGATGTGTCTCGTGGAATGTTAAACACAACTTCACACAGTGTGCCTGGCCCAGGCAAAGATCCACTGAGGATTAATACATGCAACCGATTCGAATAAATTGCTAGGTCAAACGCAGGAATAATGGAATAGAGGATGACTATGGCAATTTATGGCATCAAGTAAACATGCTTTTTCCACGTTACAAGACTTGCTGGGAGCTTCGCGCACTCGACTGAATTGATTATCGGCGAAATTAATCTCAGCCAAATTTTCTTCGTTGAGCTGGTGATCAGTTACAGCGGCCCAATTGACCATTTGCGTAATAGACTAAATTTTGATCTAAACAAGTCTAGACAAAAAATTTCATCACAGCTTGAAAGAGCATCACACAATTTAAATTCAAACAAAGTTTCGTTGCGAAATGTTGTAAAATGCGGAAAATATAGCCTTGCGAAGTTTGCAATTTTCAGTCATTTTAGTTACAAACGGGAAATTGACAGCCTCAAAGTTTGGGGCTGTCAATTTCCCATTTGTAATCTAAAATGACTGAAAATTGCAAACTTCGCAAGGCTATATTTTCCGCATTTTACACATTTTGCAACGAAACTTTGGAATATTACTAATTTTGTGATGCTCTTTCAAGCTCTGATGAAATTTTTGTTGAGATCAAAATTTAGTCTATTACGCAAATGGTCAATTCCCCAACATGCATATTACCGTCAGGGGGAAATTCAAAGCTTATAATAAAAGCCAAAAAATTATTATTATTAGCTATTATTATTTAAAATTCTTTATACACGGTAGCTTATCAACCTATTTCTACTAAAAATATATAGAGTTTTCTAATAAAGTTTCAAATAATTAAAACGCGGTTGCCTTTCATAAATAAGGCCGTGTAGAAATTTAACTATTTAAGCTAAGCATGCAGTAGAACAACAATTAACTAAACTATAGTAAATATCTGCATGCATATACTGGACATTATTACCTTATAATATTCCATAAAAAACGACAAAAACATGCATATACACTCTAAGTAACAGTTTTATTGAAAAATATGTTTTATAGCAGTCACTGGCAACTTGAAAAATTATTCAAAAATGAGTTATTTTCGCGAATGAAATCTTATAATTTATTTTTGAAAACTCTCTCAGAGATCGTGAGGTTTTTCAATTCAGTTGGCAAATTATTCCAAGTTTTTGCACCATTGTAGCTAAAACTTCGCTTCAGTGCATTTGTTCTTGGTTTTGCCAGTTTCAACATAGTAAAATTACTGCGTATATATATAGATTATATTGATCGTTTACTGAAATGTAAAACTGGTCCGATATTGATGTAGGAACTTCGTTTTTTAGAATTTTGCGCGGCATAAACAAGAGCGTCTTAACCAATCTTATATCTGGTTTAGTGGTTGCCAATTCAGTACGTTTGCTAAGAACATCTTTTGAACGAACCTCCCAATTATCGCCAGTTATAAGGGACCGATTACATGGGCGAGTTGTCCCGGCTAAGCGAGTTGACTCGCTTTGCCGAGTTGACCCACTTCCAATATGTATTGTCTATTATTTTGACATTTCGATTATACATGCAAAGCGAGTTGTCCCGCCTTGCCGGAACCGCGGCTGTAGCTTGCCGAGTCAACTCGCTTGGCCGGGACAGAAATTGCCCACACATCCCATGTAATCACTTTTTGCCGAGTTGGCATGGCAAAGCGGGCTGAAAACCACACATAATTATGCATGTTTTAATTTTGACTATATGTACAAATATAAGTTAAAAAAACTTCAAATAACATCAAAATGATATTAATGAACGTTTTCAAGGTTTAGATAGGAAGCGACACAATTCTGTTAGAATACAAACAGTATAAGCCTGTTGGGATCAGCGCTAAGTATAAATACCTCAACCAACAACATTCAGTGTGTAAAGTAGCCTCAAATACAACAAATACACCATTTTTAATCGATTAGCATTACAAATCGTTACCATCGGTAACCTCGCTTCCATTTATTAGAACGTACTGAACGTAGACTCTTCGAAAATTGTGGATAGACTCATGCATATACGGAAATAGTATTTGGAGGGCCAAAATTTTTATGGATTTCGAGTGCGAGCGCCAAAGGCGCGAGGAATATAGTGAATTTCTAGATTCATTAGAACGCATTTTTTACGTATTTTAGGACGAGGTTGGAAGAAAAGTTACAACCACAAAAAGTCGCCTAATTTTGTTAGATTCAAAAAATATTTATGTAAAACGTTGTACTGTACACGCAAATACGTTGTACTGCTCCCCTCTTGGTTACGCCACTGAACTTCAGCCTTTCAAAGTTTCGGACTTTCAGATTTGTGCGACAATTAGACTAACAATGCGCGTTTTGACTGCACCACGGGAGCTTGAGGTTGCAACACGGAAGTTGACTTTGCTGCTAGTATAATATGATTGATGTCTTGGTTTGTGTATGCGTTTTTGTTACATGTATTTTTATGCAATTTCCATTTCCAAAATGTCCACCTATTTCTTTTTTTTCTACACAAAATGATGTCTTTCAGATTTTAGCCGGACCGGTTTCGGGACCGACTTTTTAGATATATTTCACAAAACATGGGTGGTGGGATGCCCCCCCAATGTGCGCCTCTGTTTTCACTAACCTCACTAAAGGAAATGGTATTGTGTATGAAATGTTGAACATAATCAGAATAGCTTTTTTGAGACTCTGGTAAACTTTCCGAAAGGGACGGACCCACACTGACGAAAAAAGAGTTGAAAGCTTCAGCAATGTTCTTGTCACCTGTTATAGTTTCTTCGTCTATTTTTAGTGTGGATACATTAGTTGTTTTTGATCCTTTGCCTCGAATGAGGTTGACACTTTTCCATATAGTTGCTTTGGGTTGTTGTTATTGTTTTTATGGTATGTTGGAAATGCCTTGAATTAGCTTTTTCTACTATTTTGTTGGTTTAATTTGTTTCGAGGAATTTTATAGGCTTCATAGAAATACCGAGAGTTAGTGCGGGTTGCTTGTTTCAAATAGTCTCGATGATTCATCAGTTTCTTAATTTCACTAGTCAGCCATGGAGTGTGTTGAGTTCTAAACTTTACGCGTTATTAATGGAACATGTTTGTCTGCGGTAGTAGTAAACACATTTCTCCATTTTTCCCACATTTTGTTTGGGTCTGGTTCAGCTTCTATATTAGACGAATTTAGTATAGAAAAGATCCCTTTGGAATGCAAATTTGGAGGCGGTCTACTGATTGCGTCTTTGGTACACACATAAATCATGTAGTGGTCACTAATGCCAAGACGGATCACTCTACTGGATTTTACTTTTTGAGGAATGTTTGTAATAAATACGTCAATCAGTTTTGTCGTGTCAACTCGCGTTGGCTTAGCCCGCGTGCAGGCCCAAGGGAAGAATAGCGGGCCTGCAAGCAAGACCCAGTATTTTGTAAAACGCCCCTTTTCATAACACGCCCCATTCGCGCGTCAATTGTCAAAAACGAACCAATGACAGCAACCCAAATATTAACAAACAAACTTGCATTAAAATGTTGCCGGGTTTTCTCTGCTTATTCAGAACAGAAACAATGTCAACAGAAAACCAGTCTTCAAACTTCAAATCGTGAGGGAAGTCGTACGACCACATTAGCATTGATGTGTGGTTCGCTGTCGGCATTGTTATAAAACACAAATCATCACGCACTTTAGCTTCGAAATCGTCAGACATATACAAACCAACACCGCCTCCTGTTCTGTTAGATCGATGTTTATGGAAAAAGTTAAAAGCTGTTTATGTCTACTAAATGAACAGAATCTTGTAACCAAGTCTCTGTTATACCAATAACAGAGAATTGCATTTTTAAGATGTCCAACAATTCAGTTAGTTTTTGAAAATTACGCACAAGACTACGAATACTTAAATGTAAAGTAGAACTGAAATTGTGAGATATAATGGGTCTCCTTTTTGAACACATCATTAAATTGATCTTCAGTAAAATAATCACAGTTTTTATTCAGATCAGCGAAAAAATACGAATCTGGATCGCAATCTCTCATTAATTTACGTTGTTGGTTTGTATTAGAAAGTAAAGGTTTATAACTCAAACTGGTTAATCTATCACTGATTACCAAAATTGATCGTGCCATTTTGCATCTCAAACATTGCTAAGTTAAAACTATCATTATCTAGATCATAAAAAGGGTAGTTCTCTGCTATCATCCAGTGCTGCAGCTATATTTTACCAATAATATAAACTAATTTAATTTTGCAAAAAATAAAATTAGGGTACTTAGCCAAATGCAGTTGACATGTTCGCTTTGAAATCATCAAGTTCTTTTATCGAGGCGAATGATGTAGCACGAGAAGTATCGTCCTTCTTTAAATAGGATTTACCATATTTTGTCCAAGCGTATTTAAAACGATGGGATTTTCGAACTTGTCTTACTTGATAGTACAATTCTCTGGCTTTTGCATGGCGTAAGGCTTTCATTGACATATAACTTATTATCAGAACGTGCAAAACCGAGGTTGGACGAACTACGATTTTTTAACTTTCCCTTCGATTCGTAGAGTTTATCTCTAACGCTTCGTCTCGCGAACTTTGCGATAATTGTAAGAATGACGCCCCTTTTGGAAGGCAAGTGATGGCTTGTCGAGATATCCGATGGTTTAACTTAAACTGCCATTAGATCACCGATTTGCTTGAATATAATAAGACTGTTTTGCACCAGATCGTTTGTTATAACTATGAACACAATTTACTGGAGTGAATAACGTATTAAAAATAGAAGGCAAAAGATTATTATGGATTTTCATCATAAAGATAGCAATATGAAATGTAATAAGATCAAATATCTTAATAATATTCAACTGTTTAAATAAAGGACTGGAATGCTCATCAAATTTTAAAAAAGTCATAATACGTAGGCCTACAGTTTTTTTTTCAATATAAAAAGAGTTTGAACATTTGAATGGTATGTACTACCCCACGCAATCATTCCATATATTAAGAATGGATAAATTAAGGTATAATAAAGGTCGAAATCATCCTGTTGTCAACCGATAATAACAAAGTTTAGATAAAATTCCTATGCTCCTCTTAATCTTTTTTGCAATATAATCAATATGGGATTTCCAGTTAAGGTTTGAATCAATATAGATGCAGAGGTACTTACCTGTAATACAACTTTCCTGCCTCAGCGGCACGCTATTTATAGTTAACTGAAAATTTGAGGTAATTTTAATTTTTTTTGAGGAGGATGAAATAAATTTTTCTGTGTTGGTGTTGTGTACTCAGGTTAATAATATGTTTGCGATGTTACTCTGAGTGCATATCCACACCGGGCGAGCTTGAAAAATATATGCCCGGCCACAGTGGGATTCGAACCTACGACCTTTGGAATACTAGCCCAATGCTCTTCCAACTGAGCTACGCGGTCAGGACGGCTCGAAATGAGAGGATAAAATAGTCCAAAATTAGATTTGTCAATATTAAGTAAAAGCTTATTTGCACATAATCAATCATGTACTTTTATTAATTCTATATTTACATTATGTTGCAACGTATTAAGATTTTTGTGTTTATAAAACAAATTGGTATCATCAGCAAATAAACGAAATTCAAATAGGTTAGAGCATAAGTGAAAATCATTTATATATAGCAGAAAGCAGTGGCGGAAATCTTGGTGGGGCGGGGTGGGGGGCGGACCCACCTTCACGGAAATTGACGAATTTTCGGAAATTTTGACCTAAAAGAGGGCTAAAAACAGTCTTTTCGAGTGCAAATGGGGGAGGGGGGGAGGGGGTACGTCGGAAATTTGAAAGTTTTGTCGGAAATTTAGGAGGCTTTCCCCCATTTCCGCCACTGACAGAAAGAGTACTGGTCAAGAACAGATCCCTGTGGAACACCACATGAAATAGCGGTGGGAGCTGACGTTATATTATTTACAGTCACAGTTTGCTGTCGATTGCATAGATATGAATGAAACCAACTCCCAGCAACACCTCTGATACCATAATACTCTAATTTCTTAAGTAATATTGCACGGTTAACTGTATCAAATGACTTAGTAAAGTCTAAAAATATTCCACAAGAGTAATCTCGTTCATCAATTGCTCTCTGGATTTTATCAGTGATACTAAGAATAGCATGATCAGTTGAACGATTTGTTCGAAAGCCAAATTGATTATCAAATAATATTTTTTCTTTCTCAAGAAAATTCAATGAATCTCTTACACATTAATTTTTCTAACATTTTATTGAAAATAGAAAGGAGTGAGATTGGTCGACAATTACTGAGAGAGAACTGTGAATCTTTTTTATATACAGGTATGATATTTGCAGATTTTAATTTAACAAGACGCCTACTCAGGCGTTCACTCCGGGTACAGGGCCTTAACTAAGCGCAAACTACTTTAACGTATGCTTATATATGGCAATGAAAGTGTCTTTAATGCATGATATTTAGCATATTAAAGTTAGAAAAGTGGGAGAACTACAGTGTAACCACTTCACCAGGTGACTAAAAACATATGCAACGATCATAATATTTTACAACATAAAAATATCTCTTTTATCTCTAATAAAAGCTATCTAGTTCTTTATTAAAAGTTCTATTTAAAACATGCGTAGGAGTGTTTTATCGAGTCGTATACAATAAGTCGGAGGCCGTATTTCACAAATATTTTTTTTTTTTTTTTATTGTCGAGGGTAGAAATTCGAGGGTGAAAAGCTTGAGGGTATACATTTTAATAATTTAACAAAATAATAATTTTAGCTCGTGTTCATTTAGTTTACTTTTAATTTTTAGCTCTTATTTTTATATGCAATTATTATTTTTTTATATGCGATTACTTTTTATATGATAAAATATTACTACATGAAAACAGACATGCCGATCAAAAGCTACAGTCGAGATAGTTTCAAACGGCGTGGTGCATTATCTGCGTTATCTCGGATTGCATGTCGCAAATTATTGTATTGTCTATTCACTATAATATGGTCTATTGAATCAGAGTAATCAGGACTTGTTTACACCTTGCCATTGCCATACGCCTTTTCCGGGTTCGCGACGCCATCTTGAAAGTATTGTTTTCGCTATCGTGCTTGCCCCACTTGCAAATTTATCTATAGGGAATGCCCGCAAATTCTACCCTCGACAGTAAAAACCATAAAATATTTTAGAAATACGACCCCGGACTTTTTACTGATGACCCTCGACTTTTTTATATGACCCTCGACGTTTTATATATGATTTTTCGACCCTCGCTTCCCGCCCTCGACCCTCGAGAAAAACTCCTGAAACTGAATTACGTAAACAAACCACATTTATCAAACACGCAAAGAAAATTATTTAAAAAGTAATATATTGTTAGTCGTGTCATATAGTTGTCAACACTTTTTCAATGCATGGTAGTAAGTTCATAACTGGCACCATAACTCATAATTAACTAGTGTTATGTTGATATTTTGTTTATACAGATTGATTGTTTTAATTTGTAAGGCTTCGCTGTAAGTTTGTTATTAACAAACGTTTAGATTGTTTTAAGCATCTTAGTAATGATTTTACTTTAAGACCAAGACATTGCAGCCGTCGAGACCGATTTTTAATACTCTATAAATAAAACATTAAACTGTGTAATAGACGTAATAGTGTTGGGTAAAACTATCTAGTTAAATATATTTTATATGCGCTTTTGTCTAATTCAAGCGTGGTAGACAATATTGCCAATATTGTTGTGGTTTGCGATATAAATTGCCTTGCGAATCGAAGACTTTCAGATATGTCATATGTCGAATAGATTTGTGCGTTGTTTGTACTTCAATTTTGGTCACGAGGCACAAAGGGAGACTTAAAGAAGACGAGTGTTAATACAATTTAACTACGTATAGTGTTGACACAATTAAAAAATACAGGCTAACGTCAGTGACGAACCAAGCCATTTGTCGATCAGAACTAGCTTTGCAATAACGGCAACCGCTACTAAACACGCGATAAAGTCTCGAATTTCGATTTGTATTTATATGAACTGTGGTCACTGTATAAAAACGAGTGTATGAGAACCGTACCCTTCATTTGATAATATTCACTGTAAATATAACTAAATACATTGTAAACACAACGCTCGCTCCGACCTTACTACGAATGGCGGCTATTTTTAGATATTTCGTATTTTTGTAGTGCGTTGCGTGCGCTGCGTACGGTGGACTGTGGAAGTGCACACTTGTGTCGCCTAAGAAAAAAGATCTGACATTTTAATACTCCGGTACTTACAGTACCCGGAGTAATTATATAATTGGAACTATACCTGTTTCAAAAGAAGCGTTGAACAAAATCTCCAGGAGTTCAGCAATTATTTTTTAAGTAGTTTTAAGACAGAAATTGGTATACTATTAGGACCAGTAGCTTTGCCAGATTTTAGATCAGAATTTTCTGCTTCAATTTCACCTAGAGTTGTGGGAAATAAATAGAATCTTTTAGATAATGGCGTTTTTAAATAATCGGATGGTGATTTCTGGCTATCAGATATTGAATTTGCTAAATTAGTTCCTACATTAGCAAAGTAGTTATTAAATGAATCTGCAATGACCATTGGATCAGTAATTTCAGTACCGTTTTTAACAATTTTGACAACTTTCTGATTGGTTTTAGGTTTAAAGTGAATTATTTGTATTATGCCATTCCAAATCCTTTTACTATCATTGCTATTCTCCAAAAAGTATTTGTTATAATATTGACGTTTACTAATTTTTAAAAGGTGATTTATTATATTTCTATAATATTTGAATTTAGCATGGTAATAATAGATTTGTTTTTAAATATTTCTTATATAATCTGTTTTTAAAACAAATACAGACTTTAATTGCAGGGGTTATCCAAGGTTTTGTTTAAAATTTTAGTTCTCTTCTTGAAAGTTGCTTTAGAGGTAAATGTTTATCTATTATCTCTGATGTTTTTGTATAAAAAGAGTCAAACGATGGGTCAGAGTTAGTATAAAAAGAGTCAATGATGGGTCAGAGTTAGGTATACCTTCAAATATCTCATGCCAGTTCAAAGATTCTATTTCTCTAAATAAATCTGTTTCCTTACAGTGTGAGTAATCTCTTTTATAAATCCTAATGTTAGCAGGGAGGGTAGAAAATTTAGTAAATATAATAAAATTAGGTAAGTGGTCTGTAAGGTCATACACAATGTTACCACTGATAGTAAAATGTTCGATTGAATTAAAGAAGATATTGTCAATTAAAGTTGAAGAATGATCAGTAATCCTGGTGGGTTGTAAAATATATGGTTGAAAGAAAGAAGAACCAAGAACATTTAAAAAGTTTTCAGAAGTAGAACGAGTGTACGGTTGAGTTTTAAAAGGTCAATGTTAAAATCTCCCATAATTAAACATAGCTTTTCCTCCTGGTGGATTTGGTCAATTGTCAAATTAATATAATTCATAAAGTGATCTAAATTACTATTTGGGTGTCGATATATTATACCACATAATATATTTGGTTGGCCATCTGCATTTATTTCTATCCAAAGAGCTTCAAAGCTCTGATTTGAAGTTGTGATGTTTGTTCGGATAGAAAAATTTAGGTCATTTTTTTATGTAAAAAACAACTCCACCTGCGTTTGATAGACTTGGAACAGAAATGAATTTATAACCTGGAATGTCGACATTTATCAAAGGACCACCATCAACCTTTATTTTAGTTTCTGCAAGACCCATCAATGTAAATGGGAAATTCAATCCAGCTAGCATATGAATAAAATTGTCATAATTATATTAGCTACCAAGCTCCTTATATTACAGTTTAAAGCGGAAAATGACCTATCATTTGATGAGCATTCATTGATGTCGTAATTACTATGAAAATCATGTATATTATAATAATTAAAATTTTGATCTGCTGGCATATTTAGATCAACATCCGAATTTGTAAGGTGAGGGACATTAGTAACAGGTGACATAAGACTTAAGTATGGTAAATTATTGAATTGTTCAATTTTGTCAGTAATATTAGAGTCACACATCCCTAAGTAATTAGGGCAATCAATCATTGAAGTATGATACATCTAGTACAATCAATTGTAAATAATTATAGCTATAACGACTTATTACTCGCTGGGGCACTGTGCCCAGGCGAGTGTAGGTTTCGGCATGCATTTGGCACGGATCACGGATCATGGATAGTGGATCGTCGATAGCCACAAAATAGAATATTAATGACTGCCTAATCCCCAATTATCCATAAGGCTCCTGCATATTTGACCCAAATTATCCATAAATAGCCCCGCATGTTGAGGAAAATTCGGGAAAATTGAACAATTTTACAAGGAATTTCGACATGGAAACAGCAACCTTCGCAAATCGCAAGTTACGTTTGGCTGCGCTGCTTTATATTTTGAGAAGAAAGCGACACCGTTCGATTCAGCGTAACTAGTTGTACTTACGGATGTCAAGTGTATTACTAAACGCCAGGGGCCGGTTGTATAAAAACGTAGTTAGCGCTAACTGCAGTTAGCGTTAATCACTGTAGTTAAATCCTTAACTACAATTAGTTAACTACATGACTTAACTGCGTTGCACAAAACGTAGTTAGTCGGATAGTTAACTAATCACGTAGTTAACTGTGCGTGGGGCTTGCGTGGGGCGTTTAAACACAAAATTACATAAAGTAAGCAACGAGTAACGACAGCTGACACACATTTTCAACATGATTGTGGACTCGTATTTTGCAAATAGGCGGGAATTTTATTCAAAACACTAGAAAACAGTGAAAACTAAAAAAGAAAACAAGGAAAAACCGCCACAAAAGGCATAAAAGAATGCAGTTTTTCCTTGAGATGTCTACGTTAAACCAAGGTATAGCTGTTTGGCAATTATATATGTGTTTCTTGGTGTAATGGACCATACTTCGTCTTCGAGAATCGTCCTGTGCAAAAATATGTTCTGTTTTCTTAAAAACACCAAAGCTATCGCGTTTGAAGAGTTTATATGGTCTGGAAACATTCACAGGGAAGATAGCGATTGAAAATCTCAGGTAACCGTTGCTTTTCATTGTTGTTTTACTGAAAAATGTTTGTTCACTCCTATACAAACGCCATTTTTAACTACGTTTTGGACAGTTAACTATACCCAAAAGCATAGTTAACTTTAACTACTTTTTAACTGCAGTTAAGGCTAACTACACTTTTATACAACCGGCTTAACTACGTGATTAAAGTTAACTATTTTTTAAGGCTTTTTAACTACTTTTTAACTGCAGTTAGCGCTAACTACGTTTTTATACAACCGGCCCCAGTATTCTAGCGATCAAGCGAAATTGTATTGTTGACAAATCGTTCGCAGTTCGTGTTGTGGACAAATCACTCGCACTATGTTTGTCCTTGTATTTGTAATGCCTAATGGCGCAATAAGGATAAAAATACCACCGTTCGATTCAGCGTAAGAAATTGTACTTACGGATGTCAAATGTATTACTAAGCACCAGTATTCTAGCGATTTATGGCCTTTGAAAATCAAGCGAACTTGTGTTGTTGACAAATCGCTCGCAGTACGTTTCATAGTGTATTTGTAATGCATAATGGCGCAATAAGGATAAAAATACCACCGTTCGATTCAGAGTTGGATATTGTACTAATTACGGATGTCAAATGTATTACTAAACAACAGTATTCTAGCGATTTATGGCCTTTGTCTTTGAAAGCCAAGCGAAATTGTATTGTTGACAAATCGCTCAAAATTATTAAACTGATCATAAAAAAATGCAGTACGTTTGATCCTTGATAACTTTGGTATCATTGGTTTTCTTTTTTTCGGCCGTATACCAGTGGATTCGTCTCACTTCTCTCTTCATTTTGAGCCCAAAAGCCCCAAAATATTTTATTTTGAACGTTTTAAAGCGCAGTTTAATCCTAGCGTACGGACAAACTGGCGGCTGACAGTCTTGCAGAATGTAGCGTACTAAATATAACTTTACTTGTTGGGCCTACCGCATTTTAGTACTGTGTTAAGCCTTTCGCGCTCGTATTCGGCTTTTCCGCTTAGCTCGGGGAAAACCTATTATTAATCTTAATTGAAATAGCTGTGTACTGTATGTATCATGTACAGTAACGTGTGTATTTGTATATATAGCCCCAGCGAGTTAACGCTCCGTGAAGCGTCTTGTCTTGATATCAATGTAGTAGTATCATCTCTGGTTTTAATATGGACTAGAGGACTATTCTCATCTTTGCGAAGATAAATCCTTCCATTTTTGGTCCAAATAAATTTATAACCCAGCCCTTTCTTCAGTTTAAGACAATCCTTGAAGAGTTTTATATTGGTATCAGTAAGACTTTTATTAATGTAGATATTACTAGAAGTTTGACATCCAAAGTTCTTTGTTGTTATGCCCTTCAGATTCTTACGGGCTCGATAGTACGATTCTTTGGTGTCTCGACGAGCAAATTTCACAATAATGGAGGGCTCCTTTTCTTTCCCACTGTATACCTTACTTACTGGAAGTAGATGACTAACAGAAATATCTCTTTCAACAACATTCACACCCATCAGACCACCAATTTTAGGTATTATTTCATTGGTATTTTCCTTACCATCTTTGTGTATGGGAATACAGGGGCGTAGAAAGCTTCTAAAAGTTGGGGGGGGGGCAGGCTTTCAGGGGCACTTTTCGAATAAAAAAGGGCATGTAAAAATTTTTCCCGGTTCCTACGCCCCTGTGGGAATACCTTTGATTTCTAAACATTCTCTGCGCGAATATTGTTCCATGTTATGTTCCTGCTCTTCGTTACGCTTTGATAATGTGCCCCGTATTTCTTCATACTTTGCATTTGTAAATTCGATAAATTTATTGGTTTCTTCAAGTTTTTCTCTGAAATCGACGACTTCTGACTTGAGTGGTGCAAGTTTTTCATCCAATATGGATTTAAGTATCTCCACTGTGATATAGTTTTTGCTCATATTTGTAGAATAATGATTAACACACAAGTAGGTGGACAAAATATACACTTTACCGAATAAATAGGACTATATAATCACAAAAGAATCTCAAAATTCGAGAGACAAGAAAAGTTCCGCCATCTTGTTTCCCACCCCCTGCCAATTGACTGCCAATGCTTTCTCCTTAAGTTCTTGGTTATCTTCTCTATGGGTAATTTCGGAAACACTGATTGATGTTTGAGGTTGGTCAACTTGATAGATTTACATAGCTTATCAATGCTCTTTGCAACATCTTTAGCACTTTTTCTTTTCAAATCGTTAGTACCTACATATACTATAATGTTTTTAGGTTTCCTCTTTAGGGAAGGTTTAATGTTATAATCAGTTAGATCTTCAACTATTGAACCAGGGAAGGATTTAATCTGAGCTTGCATGGTGCTTAACCGATTTGGAAATCTTGTCGGGACAAAGTCCTTTAATCATGCAATCTCCGATAATTATCATAACCGGGTTGTTGTTTTCAACTGCATTTTTAAGGCTAGTCAGTAGTAAGAAATGGCGGGTTCTGGGCCACTAGCTTAATACTTCATGTTATACAAATTATAGTGGACTTACGCACCCCTCCCGCGCATCCCGATGACGTCACCCCCAGTCCACCGCAATAAGACTTGCCCAGACTTGCCCGTAACTATGACGTCATTTCCCGGTTATTGGATCACGTGACCTATGACGTTACAGGCCCCCCGCCTTCCCACGCTTTGGGTAGTCTTGTCGAAGCCTTAGTCTTACATAAGCCTTACATAAGCTTTATATAAGTCTACCCAAAGTCTACCCAAAGTCTACCCAAAGCCTACCCAAAGCCTACCCAAAAACCCCACCAGGCATGCGCAAACCCCACCACCCCCGCCTTGGGAAGTCTTCAATAAGTCTTCCATTGCGTAATTTGTTTCTTCCTTCGCCGTTCCAGCTTCTTCGGCTTCGTGGTCGTCAACGCGGTTTGTTTCTTCTAGTTCAACGTCAGCCATTTATTTTATATCCTTAATATTTTTTTCAGGAATCCAGGAATTGTGTTTACTATCGTATCCTAACCACTTGACCAGTACGATACCTTTCCTTCTTCTAAGAATTTTTTCCACTCTATACACATCGTCCGTTTTATCCACAGCGGATAGTTCCTCTTCGTAAAATTTTCCGATGATCGGTTCTCCATCATGACTTTCTATTTCGTACATGTTAGGATCTCCTCTGAATACCCCCACAACTTTGAATATCTCTTCCGTAAAGTTTGCTTCGTATCCCTTGGTAAAGATATTTTTATACTTTGTTATTCGAACCGTATCATCAACCCTAAACTTAGGTAGTAGAAATTCCCCTAATCCGTGACAGAAAAGCGTAATCCATACCTGGTCCTTGTTTGACTTGCTTACGTCGACAGGTATCATTAGTATACTGCTGTGTTTGGTATGATTGTAGTTATTCGCAAGCTCGTCCAGGGCGTCGACCCAATTGTAAGTTCCTTTGCTGTAGAAATACTTCCACATCATTGTCTTCAAGGTTCTGTTAAATCTTTCAACGATAGCCGCCTTTCTGTCGTGTTTTTGTAAGAGGTCCCTAACACCAACGTTGTAGAATTCCTTTCCCTCGTCGAACTGAGCAACTTCCGGGTATTTTCCGAACCTTTTCCTGAATTCCTCCAATAGTAAATTCACAGCCTTCGTCATGTTTTTCGTATCCTTTCTGTAGACGGGAATAGCAAATCCATAACGGCTCAGAATCTCGACAGCTGTTAGTATCCAGTAATATCCTTTGTTCTGATTTTTGTATTTTCCCATATCCACCAAATCCATCTGCACTTGGTCCGCTAGGTCCTTGACGAATGTCCTCTGAAATTTGTGTTTTCTAACGATAGGTTTATACCTTGTGTAGGTGTCTTGGGTCTTTAACCAGTCCTTCACTATTTTACGACTAACGTCCAGCCCCTCCTCCCTTGCCTTCCGGTAAAGCTTCTCCGCGGATTGATGGCCGGTACTCGGATTGTAGTAATTAATATCCCTTAACCCTTGTTCGGTAATAAAGTGTCTGTCTTCCATTTTATTTATGTGATATAAAATTCGAGGAGTGCGGACATATCGACCTTATCGTCGATGTTCGTATTGATACTGAAGGAAAATCTCTTGTGGGAACCATTATTAACATAAACCCTACTCCCGATATCCTTGAAAAACGTTGTTGTTCCGTTCAGATGCTGGTCGGATGTTACGGGTAACGTGCCCACTGTAAAACTTCCTTTACCGTTTACGTCAAAATTTAGGGATGTATTAACAACATCACAGTCGATGGCAATATATTTAAGACCGTGATTAAGAGGCAGTCCGTGTAAAAACCGACCACTCGAATTTCTTAAGATTACAGATTTCCATCAAACTCTCTGTGTGGAAGAAGTCATTCATAAAATGAACAAAAAACGTTGACTTTGAAATTGTAGTCAGATTTAAAAATTTTTTCGCAATTATTTTCGGACCCGTTCGAAAACAAGTTAAAACGTTAATTACGCAAGTGATATTTGAGCTTTTTTATATCTCACAGTTCATCTCGCGCTTTTATTAATTTTTAATTTTTTTAATTTTATAAACTTCGTCACAATATAAATTACATATCTAAATACTATAATGACTATAACACGTTCCGAGCTATCCTTACATGTATCGTTTTCCAGGACCAACAAACTGTTAAACCATATTAAAACAAACTAAAACAGACATGAAAACCGTAGATGCAAGATAACTCGAAATGCACTATAGATCTAACAATACAACAATTTACAACAATTGTGACAGGGCATTCACGACAGCTTTTGGCCAATTACTGTGATCCCATTAGACAACAAACAAATTATCTTAAACTATACAAAGCATTCACATTGTCTCTTAAAAAATTATCATTTAAAAACAGCATGCAAGAGGTTTAGTGAGATCATGAGTCTGATTACACTTTAAACAAATTGTTTTCCACGAACGAGAATCATCTATGTTATAATTAAGTTGTAAAGCAGAGAAGTAGTAGTCAAGTAAATATTTTTTAAAGGTATATAAAGAATTAGATTTATTAGTTATGAGTTTTGGTAAAGTATTCCAGATCCTTGTTGATCTGATTGTATAGGACTGTTGGTATGTCGCTGTATAGCATTTCTTCGTGCGGAATTGGAGACAGTTTGGTTGAACAGATCGTGTTGTTCTAACGTTCAGATTTTGCGTAGGAAGGACTGATCTCGGAAGATTTATGGCACCACAACTTACTTTAAATAAAAACATCATGTCCAAGTACTCGTGCCAATAGCTGATGGGAAGAAGCTTCAATTTCTTCAGTCGTTGCTCGTAACTGGCTTCGCAAAGAAAAGGCAGGCCAAGGATGTATTTTGAAGCACGCCTTTGTACTCGTTCTAATCTGGAGATGAGCTCAACGGACTGTGGTGACCAAACTTGCGTTGCATAACCGACTTGAGATCTTACGAGAGTTAGGTAGAGGGCACGACGCGCTGATTGACTGGTGATGTTTCTTGTGGATCGTTTTACAAATCCCAGCAATTTATTTGCCTTTGAACATTGTTCCAAGACTTGTTTTCGCCAGGTCAAGTTGTTGGAGATCCATACACCCAAATCAAATTCATGTTTTGAGGTCTCTAAGGTTTGGTTAACCAGACTGTATTGATGCTCGATTGTCTCGCGCCTTCTGGTAACACGGAGAGTTTTACACTTCGAAGTGTTTAATTGAAGACCAGCATTCGAGGAACTGGTTTCAAAGTTTAATAGGTCATCCTGCAACGCTGTAGCATCATCAAGGCAGTTTATCTCTTTAAATAATTTGGTGTCATCAGCATAAGTTGCGATAGAAGAACTCACGATACTGGAAGGTAGGTCGTTTTCATATAACAAGAACAGTAGTGGACCAAGAATTGAGCCTTGAGGTACTCCTGAAGTTACTGGTGTAGGAGATGATGTTGCTCCAAGGATTGTCGTTTGTTGTCTACGATCTTGTAAGTATGATTGGAACCATTTGAGGATGTTACCACTAAATCCGAAATCACGTAGACGAAGGAGAAGACGCGTGTGGCTCACCTTATCGAAGGCTTTCGACATGTCCAGGTATAAGACATCGATTTGTTTACCACGATCCAACAAGTTACCAATCGTTTCGAACACTTCGATTAACTGAGTGACGCAATTTCTTCCTGGGATGAAGCCATGTTGACAAGGATTAATCTGGCTAAACACGCGATCTTTGATGCATTCGAACAAACAGCGTTCCAGTACTTTAGATATTAAAGACAGCAGAGATATTGGTCTATAATTTTCAACATATTCTTTATCTTTATTCTAACTTCTTGAAACTTACATATTTTATTATTTCCTGCCTGGGCATTAACTTAAACTAAAATTATCCTGATCACTTGAAGCAAACAAAATATTGTGTATTTTTAAAAACGTCTTTCAGACAGCTGATTAAATATTCGTGTTAGTATACTGGCGGTAAAATTATTTTTTCTCAAAAGTGCAACGGTATCAGGTATCCAATCTATTGCAGCTACTGAGTATTATGGCACATCTACTAGAATAAATAATAAAATATTTGGGCAATGTGTTTTTCGCCTGACAAGCGCGTCATGAATATAGTCAATTTTCGCTAATTCCTCTAATTATAAGCTATAATTTCTTTTTGTATTTACTTAAATTTTTCGCGTTAAAAACATACAAACTGTTCACTGTTTCAAATATGGCTGTTTTTTGGATAGAGAGTAAGTTATAAATATGCCAGCAATTATATATGCTTGAAATTTTACGTTTGTGGGTATCATTAACTACTACATGCAAGTAGGTAACCCCCACCCCCCATATGGGTACGGGAGTAATTAGTATCCAAGCGAATGTATGTATGACGTCATATAGTCAATGACCTCACCGGAAATACTCGCATAAATTATCAAGTATGAACGTTCAGCTATTGCCGCATAAATTATGAAGTATGAACGTTCAGCTATTTCCGCATAAATTATGAAGTATGAACGTTCAATTGTATGTATCCGGTTTGTAAGCATTACGTAATTGTATTGCACATGTCTATAAAAGAGGCAGCGCGTTTATTCACTGATATCATTGCATACTAAGCCTTTGAAAATGAATTTTTCACAAAGTTTCGTCCTCTGATTATAAAAGGCTTTTCAGTTTGTTAGAAGCTATATATGCAGAGGCTGTTGCTTGCGAAGTTGGTAAACTTGCTAAAGAGAGATGTTGTGGTTGTGAGTACGACCATCCGAGTCAACGCCAGCATGACTGTCTCATGTTATCAGAAAAAGAGAGATGGCAATCGTATGGTTTGGAAGCCATAGAGCGAGTGATTGTTAAACGTATGGTTTGGAGGGAGTTTGTTGAGGCTATTAGAGTGATGAAGTTACAGTATCATAAAGATGTTCGAGATCACTTTGACAATTTGGAGAAAAGTCCTGATTCAACCTTTCTTTACTCGCTGATGGATCTTCGTGAAAACATCGAGGATAGTGAATTTGAGTCAATTTTGAATTATCTTTCATATTGGAGAGAGGACGGACTTTTAGACGAAATTTCTAGCTGGAAAGAGGATTGTCGTGATGACCCGCTTGAACCTGGGGCTACGGTCTTTTTTTTCAATGCCCCCTAGTTTTAAGTATACTGTGAAAGCGACAGGCGAGTAATTTAGAAGTCATGAAGAGGATCATTATAAGGCATATGTGGAATATTTGAGAAGTAAACTTTGAGATTCAGTGTAAATATGTTAATAAACGAGTTTCGTTTTTAGTCTTTTTATAAATTTGAGGGTTCTTGAATAGTTTGAATAAAAACATCATCTGGCAGTCAGAAGACTGAATTACATGACGTTAAGTGTTACAAGGTTATAAATAGTAAAAAATTCTATATTACAATGCAATTTAAAAATTGTTAATATATACTATATATCATATACTTAAATGTACTAATCTATATGAGTTAAAAATTCTAAAATGTTCAAGGAACATCTAATTTGTAATGTTTCTTAGCATAAAAGTTGATAAAAGAGTTTTCGAAACGATTTGTATTTGCTGGTAAAACTTCAAAAGATCTTTCTTTTCGTAATTCTCTATTGCCTGCTTTGGATGGTAAAAGTTTGGCAAGTTTATGATCATCATTTAAAACAATGTCGTTGAAGAGATTATTGGATAGATACTCCCGTCTGTTTTCAAGAGTAGGAATACCAGCGATGTTAAGAGCCTCGTCGTAAGACAATTCATAGAATATTATTTTCATTGCTCGCTTCTGTATACGTTCAATGTTTTTTGCAAGATTTCGTGGCAGGGAAC